GCATTTTACCACATTTAAATGTATTTATCACTTAAACTACATGTGAATTAAGTATTATTTATTTTGGAGGAAGAAACCTTAATTTGTCATGAGTCAGTGAACCACTTTTTTCTTTAACATTGATTACCTTTTGCTAGGCAGTGTCCTAATTATTTTCCAAGTCTTGACTCATTTAATTAAGTAGATGTACTAATACTATTTTGTAGATGAAGAGATTGAGGCACAGAGTTATTAATGTAAATGTGCTCAAAATATTCATGTACTTTGGCTCTATTTCAAACTTTTATCATTTAGGTAACATTTAGAGGTTGCAGTTTATGCTTATCTTTGGTGAGAAGATACGAAGGGAATACTAAACAAAATTGTGTTTTGTCTTATTAAGCTCAGTTAATGTGACTACAAAGTATTTTTATTGGTTGCCTCCTGTTACAGTGTGTTGAAATAGTAACACCCTGTTAATTTCTTCTTGTTTGCATGAGTAACAGTGTCACTCAACAACCTGGCCCTTAGGAAATATAATCCCATACTGAACACTGAGTATAATAAGGAAGCAGATGCATGGAAACAAGGAGCACTAGCCATTACAAGCATACTCTGGAAACGAAGAAATGGGGAGGGGGGAAAACGGCATTTACTAGCTGAATCTAGTAGCCCAGCCCAGTGATGGTCTGCTTATATTTCATTGGCTAGAATTATGTCATGGTCAACCCATCTGAGGGGGAGACAGAATGTAGTAGTTTCAGTTGGGCATATTACTACCTTCAGCTTCTCCTAAGGAAGAGGAGGAAAATGATACTGGGTAGGCAACAGGATCTGCCTTAGGTAGATACAGCAGGTTTCTAAAATTTAGCAAGTACTTTGGGTAGAAAAGAGTCTATTTTGTTGTTGTTATAACTATATTTCAATAGGTCATAAGACCATCTAAAAAATATTTAAAACTGATTTTTTTTGGCTGTTTGGAGTGTTCGGTTTTTATGTATTTATAAATTGGAGGACATTTGTTACACTGCCTTGGGTGATACAGTTGCTTTTCACTTTGACACAATGTATCTAACTTACTCCTAATGAAACAGCACAACTCAGATGGGACTTGAGTCCCAGATTGGGACTTGAACCCACAAGTTGAGACTCAAACCCAGCCAAAACCCAGACTGGGACTTGAACCCACTGTCTTTTAATTGAGATCACACATCTTGTCTCAGGATGTAATGAAGCGCAGGTTCTTTATGTCTCGTCACAGAAAGAATTTAGTGAGAGGCAAAGTGATAGGTAAGAAGTGGATTTATTTAGAGAGATACACATTCCGAAAACTGAATGTGGTCTGTCTGAAAAGGTGAGAATGGTCCTGGGGAAAACACACTCCACAGACAGAGTGTGGGCCATCTCAGAAGGCAAGAGGCCCCAAAATATGGAGTGGTTAGGTTTTATGGGCTGAGTAATTTCATAGCCTAACGAGTGGGAGGATTATTCCACCTCTCTAGGAGAAGGGATGGAGATTTCCAGGAATTGGGCCACTACTGTCCACTTCTTGGCCTTTTATGGTTGGCCTCGGAACTGTCATGGCGCCTGTGGGTGTGTCGCTTAGCATATGCTAATGTATTACAGTGGGCCTGTAATGAGGCTCAAGGTCTCCTGGAAGTCGATCTTCTGCCCTCTTGGACCTAATTGGTTCTAACCTGTTTTATGTCGTAACCTCAAGGGCTATGTCGTTCTTTCAAAGGTTGTGCCCTGCCCCCTTCCCTCCTGTTTCACTAATATAACCCTGAAAAACTCTGTATACCTATTTTTCAAATGAGGACACTGAAGCTCAAAGAGGTTAAGTCACTTGTTCAAGGTCACACAGCTAATAAGTGTCAGAGCTCAGACTGAGCCTAAGTTAAAAAAAGAAAAATCATGCTCTTTTCACTCTGCTACACTGCTGCTTATTATATGTCTACTTCAAGCAGGACACTTAGAACCAGTTGTTCTTTTAATTTTTTTTTCCTATTTCATTAATTCTTTTTTTTAAAAATTAATTTATTTATGGCTGTGTTGGGTCTTCATTGCTGTGCACAGGCTTTCTCTAGTTGCGGTGAGCGGGGGCTACTCTTCTTTGCGGTGCGCGGGCTTCTAATTGCGGTGGCTTCTCTTGTTGCGGAGCATGGCTCTAGGCACGTGGGCTTCAGTAGTTGTGGCACGTGGGCTCAGTAGTTGTGGCTCGCGGGCTCTGGAGCGCAGGCTCAGTAGTTGGGGTGCACAGGCATAGTTGCTCCTCGGCATGTGGGATCTTCCCGGACCAGGAATCGAACCCGTGTCCCCTGCATTGGCAGGCAGATTCTTAACCACTGCACCATCAGGGAAGCCCCCTATTTCATTAATTCTTACTCTTCTGTTTCTTTTCTTCTTTCTTTGAGTTCCCACTGATCTTTTAAAAAGCTTTTAAGTTGATTACTTAATGAATGAAGTGAAGTGTAAATTTACATCTAAGTACTATTTCAGCTGCACTTTACCTTTTTTTATTATTGTTTTCATTGTCATTCAGTTCTAAACATTTTAAATTTCCTTCTCTAATTCATGGATTGTTTTAGCCATGCTATAGTTTTATTTTCTAAATATACAACTTTAGAAAAAAATGACTCCTAATTTAATTTCATTGTGGTCAGAGACCATAATCTGTATAATATTGTCTCTGAAATTTGTTGCTACTCCGTTGGTGATTTTGTATGTGGACAAATTTTGTAAGTCTGTGCTTAAAGAGATGTTTCATATCTGTTAGCTACAGAGTTTTATGTAGATATATTAAACTTGCTTAAAATATTAATCTTCAAAATGCAATACTTACATTTTAGCCTTAAATTCCTTAGTGTGAATATGTCAGGTAGTTTGGTGAATGGGATGTCATGAACTTGTGCTTTATTATTTACGTCATATTTGTAACACTGAAGAGGACATAACAAATAACTGATAAATGTGAAGCAGTTCCATTGTGGGAACTTGATTTTCATATTAGGTCATGACAGACGTGAACAGATCTGCAGCTACAGTGGGAAAGCAAAAATCACAGTCGTAGTTCAGGTCTTGCTTGGGTTTTTAAATATATGTTTTCTTTATCATTGAAAAATTACATTGCTTTACTGAAAAGTAAAACCATCTCCCCACCCCCCCAACCCCCAACAGTTTGACTTGTAGATTCAAATTCTAGCAGAGAAGGCGGACATATGGAGCCTCCATTTCTTTAAGCCCCTATTATTTATGGCCTTTTTGAAGTGAAATTTTATTTTATCCTTCCCCTTGAATGTCTTATAAAAGTTTTAATTTGGAATTTTTTTTTTTTTTTTTTTTGCGGTACGCGGGCCTCTCACTGTTGTGGTCTCTCCCGTTGCAGAGCACAGGCTCCGGACATGCAGGCTCAGCGGCCATGGCTCACGGGCCCAGCCGCTACGCGGCATGTGGGATCTTCCCGGACCGGGGCACGAACCCGCGTCCCCTGCATCGGCAGGCGGACTCGCTACCAGTGCGCCACCACGGAAGCCCAATTTTGAAATAATTTTAAAATAAAAGTGGCAGAAATAGGGCAGAGACCTCCTGAGTACCCTTCACCCAGATTCACCAATTGTCAACATTTTGCCACATATGCTTTATCACTCCCACTTTCTCCATATATAGAGATTATATTTTTTTTTCATCATTTGAAAGTAAGTAGCTCCTATCATACCCTTTCACTACTAAATATTTTGGTATATTTTTTCTAAGAATGAGGACATTTACTTAAAAAAAAGAGCACAATCCTCTGATCAAAAGCAAGAAATGAAACAATACAGTTATCTAGCCTGTGGACCATGTTTTGATTTCTCCAATTGCCCTTGGTCTTCATAGCAATTATTTTTTGTGGTTCAGAATCCAGTCCGGGATCATGCATTAAATTTAATTTTCATATGACTTTAGTCTTTTAAAATCTGGACTGTTTCTTTAAGCCTCCTTTGTCTTTCATGATTCTAATTTTTTTTAAGAACTCGGGCCATTATTTCATAGAATGTCTCTCAATTTGAATTTCTCAGTTGCTGCCTCATGATTAGATTTAGATTATACGTTTTGGGAAATACCTCAGAAGGGATACTGTATCCATTGCAGTGCACTTGAGGAGATGCATGATGTTGGTTTGTCTCATTGTTGGTTGTCATTTGGTAGCTTTGATCACCTTGGATGAAGTGGTATGTGCCAGGTTTCTGCACTGTAAAATTGGAATTAAGAGGTATTTTGTAGGGAAATATTTCAAGACTATGTAAATATCCTTTTGCTCACCAACTTTCATCTACTAGTTTTAGCATCTTTTGGTGATTCTTGCCCAATCCATTAATATCACAGTGTTTACAAATCGGTAGTTTTCTAACTGCTTCATTTCTTTATACATATTAGTTGGCATTGTATTGCAGAGAAGAGCTTTCCCTTCCTCCTCGTTATCTGTTTCTATCAGTATGGACTCCTGGATTATTATTTAATGGGTTTAGAATCTGTTCTAGTCTGTTGCTATCAGTATATACTTAGGTGCTTAATTGCCCCTTTAAACTGGCTTAAGTTGTCCCTTTAAGTTGTAGACCGTTTAAGCTGGCTCCTGTATACTTTTCATAGGTCTCCATCATTTTTTCGAGCCCATACTTACTTTAGGTACAACACACTGTTCTAGGTTTATCTTATACATTACCTGCCCAGTGCTGGGAGTGGCTGTTTCTCCAAGAAGCCCTGGTGTTGCTTTCAGTGGAGTATCTAAAACAGCACGGTATAATATTTCAAAGCCCAGTCTTTGTCACTTCTTGGCTGAGTTGATTTGGTCAAATTATTTAACATCTCTAAATCTCAATTTTTATCTGGAAAATGACAGTTAGAATGGTACCTATCTCACAGTGTTGTTGTGAGGGTTAATTTAGATAATTTAAAGAAGAATGCATGCCACATAGTAAATATGACATAAATGTTGCTTATTATTATTATTACATTATTATTCCCTTTTTTCCCTTTAACAGGATGTTCTTTTAAAGAATATTGAAGACGAAGTTTTTTGTTTTCTTTTGGTTTTTTGTTTTTTAATGGCTTTACAGAATTTTAAATTGAATACAATTTGACATGACGGCAAAAAATGTAAGTATCTGTAAATTTTTAAATGTAAGTATTTAAAAAATGAGTTGTACTTTTTCGTATGCATATTTGCTTTGTCATTCTGATTAATGAAATTCAGTTTACGGGCATTAGTTGATCACTGTTTTTGTTCCTGCAAAGAATGAGATAGTAAACTTTAACACTGTTGAATATTGTGCCAGGTTGCTCCATCTCAACAGCTGCAAAATTGCTATCTCCAGAAGGTTTCCCACTCCCCCACCCCTCCTGTTTTGTGTGCTGTGATAAATTTGTTTTGGTGCTTGCTGGAGACTTACTTGGCATTATTGAGAAAAATCACTGTTTTCTTTGGCTCACATTTTTTCTTTTGGGTTTACTCTTGGAAGTGTGTACAGTCAGATGTTATTCAGAAGAAGCTTGCTGTCCTCCATGAGATGATTTCTGAGGGAACATGAGACTTAGCTTTTTTGGAGAAGTTATTTCTGTTTTTCTTTTGCTTAAGGCTCTCACTTCTGAATCTACTTCCTTTCAAGTTACATTCTTATTATCACCCTGTATCAATGGATTTATTTCCAGTCATGGTGAAGGATTATGCCAGAAAAGAAATACTACAACATATAGGGAAATAATTTATTATAATTACTGTTCCCAGATTTTGTTGGAATATTTGATTACAGGTAACAGAAACCAGCTTGGGCTACCTTAAACAAAAAGGGAATTTATTATAAAGATACCGGATGTCTCAGGGAATTCAAGAGAAGGAATTTAGTGGGTCCTCAGAAAGATCTGGGTCCAGAAACTTGAAATCTACCAGGAATCGAAGCAGTATTTGGTTTCCATTTGTCATCTCTATTTGTTTCTGTGCATTGGCTTCATTACTCTCTGTCTCTCTGCAAAGCATCTTCCTCAGTTCTCAGTCAGCATCTTGATCTGCTTGTTACAGTACCAGCCTATTCAGAGAGAGAGAGAGAGAGAGAGAGAGAGAGAGAGAGAGAGAGAGGGGTGAGGGAAATGGGGGCAGGCAGCCCGACAAATCCTGTCTGCCTCTGTCAGTTCTAATTTCAGACTCCTTGGGAAGGACCTCTGGCACTACTCCAGCCTGATATCTGCTAGTAGTTTGGCTAGTTGTGACCAGAGGCAAGTGTTACATTGTATAAAAAGATCTTGTGAGCCAGACAGATAGTTCCAGATACTACCCATCATACATTTAAAGAAGAGCATCAAAAACAAACAAACAAACAAAAAACAGCCAAAACCCCAAAAAACACCCTGATTACTTATCTCTATTTTCCCCATTATTGACCTTGCTTTTAACACACAGGAGTAGCTATAAGCAGATATAGACTTTGGTTCATTATCATCTAATTAATTATTTTAGCATAAATTATCAGGAGTAGTCTGCTTTTTAAAAATTTTTTTTCATTGGGGTACATTTGTTTTACAGTGTTGCGTTAGTTTCTACTGTACAGCGAAGTGGTGTTGAGTTCCCTGTGCTATACAGCGGGTTCTCATTATTTATCTGTTTTATACATATTAGTGTATATATTGTCAATCCCAATCTCACAGTTCCAGCTTTCCCCCCTTGGTGTCCATACGTTTGTTCTCTACATCTGTGTCTCTATTTCTGCCTTGCAAACCGGTTCATCTGTACCATTTTTCTAGATTCCACACATATGGGTTAATATATGATATTTGTTTTTCGCTTTCTGACTTACTCTGTATGACAGTCTCTAGGTCCACCCACGTCTCTACAAATGACCCAATTTCATTTCGTTCGTGTGGTATATGTACCACATCTTCTTTATCCATTAAGAGTAGTCTGTTTTAATCTATGGCTCTTGTATATATTCGTTTAAGTGCTGTCTGGGGAAAAGAAGAAGCAAATTTTTAGTCTGTGTATTGGGAATTTTCTTCCAGGATATTTCCTTGATTTTCCCTCCTCTAGAAAAAAGAGAATATAAAAGTTATCCTGAGCAACAAGATGGTCAACATTCAAGTAGCAAGTATATTTTGGCTTAAAAATGTACCTTAAATCTTCCTAGCCATATGTACAGTTTGCCATATTAAAAGTTGTTTCCCTAAAGTAACAAAGCATTTGAACCAGTGGTAACTATTCTCCCATTATTTCATTTGTATATTTGGAAGTAATCAAAGAGTATGCAAACAGTTTCTCTTTCCGCTACAGCAACCTAGGGGGAAAGGGCTACGTCATGAGCTCACCCTCTTCGGATTCCTTGGAGTTGGGGACATGGAGAGGTCAGGCCTCAGACTGGGCTGAAGCATGTGGGAAAGAATTGAAATAGGCTAAACATCTAATCAAGTTCGCTAGCCATTCTGCAGTAGATAAGAACATTTTTGTGACTTTTAATATATTTTGTCGAGGTACTTACGGGAAGGCTCATACCAGTTTACAATACCATGAACAACTCGTTCTCATCTCCCCCCTCCCTATCTCTCTCCAACAAATAGATGTGTCTGACGCTGTTCCGGGCTCCTACCTTCTTGGGGTTTATAGTGTAGTGAGAGAAGATGGTAAATATATAATGTCAGATAACGATAACAGTTATGAAGAAAAATAAAACAGGGTAAGAGGAGAGAAAGTGACAGCGATGAGGGAGATCTCTTTCAACGAGGTGTTCAGAAGAGTCCTCTTTAAGGAAATGATGTTTAGACAGAAGAATGCTCTTCAGTCTCAGTGCAAGAAGAAGGAGCCAGCCATGTGAATATCTGGGGAAAGAGCATTCCAGGTAGAGTCCGGAGAAAGTGAGGCTGTTCAAAGAGCAGCAAAGGACCAGTTGATAAGACGGAACAGAGTAATTAAGCCGGGGAGAGTGCGAGGCTCCAGGTCATGGGGAGCCTCAAACACTGGGGTGAGCAGCGTGTGTTTTAAATGTCAGTGGGGAGCTATTGGAGGTTTTGAGGATGGTTTCATGTCCTGACTTAGCATTTTCAAAAGCTTGTCTGGCTGCTGAGTGAATAGACTGCAGAGGGGCATAGTAGAAGTGGGGAACTCATTTGGTACTTGTCCCAGTAGTTCAGACATCAGAGTATGGTGACTTGAGCTGGGGTAATGATATTAGAGTTGGGGAAAAGTAGTTGAATCTAAGATGTATTTGAAGGGACAGCCACCAGGACTTATTGAGTAATTAGGATATGGGGACAGGGAAGAGGTTAAAGATTTCTCAGCATTTGGCTTGTGTAACTGGGTAAGTGCCTTTGCGGTTTAATGAGAAGAGGAACCCTTGGGGAAGTGCAGGATTTTGTGGCAAACTCAAAAATTGTTTTGAATATATTAAAGTTGAGGGACCATGAAAACATCCAGGTGGAGATATTGACCAGGCAGTTAATATAATGATTAATAATGACTCTGGAGCTCAGGGGAAAGCTTGGGGCTGCATATAAAAATTTTGGAGTCATTTCATATTAGATTGATTATTTTAAAGCAGTATGATTCCATGAGATTATATAGTTCATGCGTGGCTAGAGAATACATAAGGACCAAGGTCTGAATGCAGGGAATATCCAACAACTGGGGAGGAGGAGAGGCAGCAAAGGACACTGAAGGAATGGACAGAAAGGAAGGAAAGAACGTTACCCTGATGATGTGGAAGCCAAGTGAAGACGGTGTTTCAGGAAGTGGGGGTGGAGTGATAATTGTGTCACATGCCGCTGAAAAGTGACTCTTAGATATAGAAGAGATTGCGCAGATTTTATGGAAGAATTATTATTATTATTGTTATTTTTGCGGTATGTGGGCCTCTCACTGTTGTGGCCTCTCCCGTTGCGGAGCACAGGCTCTGGACGTGCTGGGCTCACGGGCCCAGCCGCTCCGCGGCACGTAGGATCCTCCCGGACCGTGGCACGAACCCGTGTCCCCTGCATCGGCAGGCGGACTCTCAACCACTGCGCCACCAGGGAAGCCCTGTGGAAGCATTATTAAACATATGTTCAAATATTTGCATCTTCAGTTCCTGTTTCTCATTTTGCATTTCTCTTATGAGAACAGTTTTTTGTGAAACGTTAGTTTTGCCTCAGCCATGCCATCCTAGGTCTCTTATGGTTGCAGGTGTTAGAAACCCTATTCAGAATCACTTAAGGCAAAACGTGGAATGTGTTGATTGGCATAACTGAAAAGTCTGGAGTACTCTGGCTTCAAATACAACCGGGTTCAGGGAAATGATAGGCATCAGGGCTCTGCCTCCCTTTTTCCAACTCTTGGCTCTATATTGTGGCATAATAGCCTACATTGGCCTTATAATGCTTCTCTCAGAAGAAGAGAGGGAACTTTTCTTTTTTAGTATTTATATTTCAAATTCCATGGAGGAGCTTTGGTTAACTCTGCTTGGCCCACACGCTTAGACAAGTAGAGAAGGAAGTAGGGTACCATAAGTGGTTTGCTGCTTCACTGTGAGTCATGGGTCCACTCCTATTGTCATAGCACATTTGAGGCTCCAAGATGAACAGCCCTACCAGAACTGCAGGGAGTGTGGGATGTTTCATCTTGCAAAAGGAAGTTCTGCAGAGCTGATTCATTGTATCTGGGACAAAATTGTTATCAGGTAGTATCTAGTATCCAGTGATACTCTTCTAGTATCTCCAAAAATGGAGATGTGTTCTCACTTAAGTTCACTTAGTATACAATAAAGAATTTGAAAGATGCTTTGAGGTGTTATTTTTTGCCTTGTCAAAGAATCTTTTAACAATATGTAAGCCATAATACTCATTACAGAAAAATTAGAAAGTACAGATAAAGAAAAGAAACTAGCCTAGAGATTATCAGCAAAATTCTGCCTAAGAACACATCTGGCATATACACAAATATATATATATATACACCAAAATCTATGTATACTATATTTTTTTAATAAAAATGAGGCCAGACTGTTTTGTAACCTACTATTTAGCTTAGTCTCTATGATGAAAACCTTTTATTGTCTTGATAACTCTGTAACATCATGTTAAATTGCTCTTTTATGTTATCTATTCTATGGACATTACACTAGTTTCCTAATATTGGCCGTTATTTCCATTTTTTCTCTTTTTTTTTAACTTTTTGTTTATTTTTGTTTACTCATTGGATTATTTCCATGAAACAAAAGTCTTATGAAATTACTGGCCCAAAGAGTATGTACTTTTTGGACTCTTGATTCATATTGCTAAATTGCATTTCAGAAAGGTTGCACCAATTTACATATTCACCGGTGGTGTATGAGAGTGCCATTTCCCTTTATTTTCTTTCTAATCTTGGTCAATCTAATCAGCAAAAAAATGGTATGTAATTTACTACATTTCTCTAATTGTTAGTTAGGTCAAATTGGTATTCTCTGTGTTTATTGGTCATTTGTGTCTCTCTTATGAATTGTCTAGGTCAGTGTTGAAGTAGTAAGGCCATTGCCCTTTGAATTAACTACCCAAACTTGAATATTGCTTTGCCATTAACAAACATGTTCACATAATTATTTAATTTGGTCTAAAGAGCTGTCTGAGTTGTACACATGTGTATTGTCATTCTCATTTTGCAGTGACTGTTCTAAGAATACCTTGCTTGTGAATGAATGGTAGAGCTGAACTTTGACCACAGACAATCTTGCTTTGAATCTTTCAGTTATATCAGTCTGAAATGTTAAAGATCAGTGAAATTATAATGCTGTTATTGGGGAATATCGTTTGACTCTTAACATTTGGGCTTTGGATATTTTTTATTCAATAGACATTTAGTGACTGCTTACAGTATGCAACACAGTGTTTGAATATCCTGATAGAAAACTTTTCTCAGGATCTTATTAGATGAAAAATTTTATATAAAATCAGTTTACTTTTTTCTCTTGATCTGAGAAACATTATATAGAAAGATCCTTTTTAAATGGACAGAATAAAGAAAGAATAGCTAATATTTTTAAATGCCTTTCCTACCCAACCTTTTCTACTTGCATATCTACTTTTTCTTTGAATCTTTAAACTATACAGTGTTTATGAAAGCAGAAATTAATACATTTTTGAAGTTTTAATTAAATAAATTTTAGTAGTATTTATTTAAGCTCTGAATACAAACACCTCCCCTCCATCCATTAGACCAAAAGTACACACACTATTGATTTACAATTGACTTTTATCTTTTTGGGGTATAACCTGTTGTTCACTAAGGTGCAGGTGTACAGCTGCTTAAAACATTTCCTAATTCGTTTGCTACTTCACTTAGAAGCAGCAAAAGTTAAACAGTAAGAGCAGGTGTTTAAATGTAACAGTAATCCAGTAACTGAACTCTCGCCTGTGAATATGTGGTTTTGGTTGAGGTTTTTGCCGTTATCTTTGTATAATAACAAAAAGGTATAAACGGATACTTTTGAAGTTATTGTAATGTATTAAATAATCACATTGTATGAAGCATGGAATATATTAAAGGCTGTCTTTGCCTTCTTTGCTTTCTGTGTACAGTAGAGCACCAACAAACATTTCGCCTTTCTCTTTTTTTGTAGTAGAAGAGCTTAAAAAGGAGAGGCATGTTAGTGATCACAGTAAACTCTTGGCATTTACAAATTGAACGCTTAACGTTAGTATTTGTGAGCAGCTCTGGAAATCCATGCAGTGGTATTTTGTTGGAAATTGTGTTGCAAAAGGTTTACTTCTCATAGAATACTTATGAGAAGCTAGACAGAATTAAGGATCTGCACCATTATCTACATAGAATTAAGAGGCTATGTTTTAGATGCCTCTGTCTTCAGCCGCTTCCATAAAAATTTAATATGAGATGCCAGACATAGGTTTGCATCAGAATTACTTTTCTATGATGTGAGCGATATGTAGAAATATTTCTGGTAGCATCTCTTGAAAAAAAGAAATAGCTGTTAGTAGAACATCTGAATTCCTAAATAATGAAATAATTAGCTCTTATATTATGAAATTATAAAGTATCAAATGAGTGGTTTTGAAGAATATACAGTGTTAAAGCAGTGGATAGTTTAAAAACATAAAGCAAGTACACAGATACAAACTTGCAGAACTACGTGTGCCTTAAAATCCTTTCGGTGTGTTAGTACTTTGAGGGGATGTTTGGGGTACCAAATTAGCGTGGATGTTTCAAGGTTACAAATCTACAAGGATTAAAACAATAATACAGTAGTAACAGTAGAACCATTTATTGGATACTTGCTTTGTGACAAGTTTTTAAAAATAGAGGGTTTTTTCCTGCTGGCTCTATCTATAATGAAATTTTAAAACTCTGCTTGCTGATACTACCATATTCAGCTTATGATTCCAAGTAGTCCAGTAGACATCACATTAAAAGAAATATATTGTCTAAAGGAGAATTTATGAACACACTTGCTTTAGGTAGTCCCTCAAGTATCTTACAAACAGTAATGAACATTAAAATGGATGGAGCACTTTGTGCCAAGCCCTGTGCTTTACATGAATTCTTTTTCTTAATCTTTCTAACAACCTGAATTGGTAAGCACCTTTAGCGGCCTCTAATTTATGGACGAGGAGACCGAGATATAGAGAGCTTGTGTGACTTGACCACGGCCATACACATAGTGGGCTTGATGAACTGCAGGATGAACCCAAGGCCAGTGGACCTCATGTCTGCGTTATGGTATTAATGGTCTTTATTTGGTCCATTACAGGTCATAATGTTTAAAAGCATTATATACAGTGATTGTGAACAGTAAAAATTAGGGGCAGCAATGAGGGTGGAATTTTGGTATATCTTTTGCAAACTTCATGGTTGCCAGATTACTTGCTTTCAAAAAAAAACCATCAGTGAAATCTGTAGATCTCACATCTGCTCATAAGTAACATTATTTCATTAATTTTTATCTTGATCTGGACAGTGCATTATTTTTCCCATTTCAAGCAAAATGACAATGTTTTAATCCAGCTCCTATAGTTGATATCATTAACTCATCTTTATGTGACAATGTATAATATTTGATATGGACCTCTGGTGGAAGGTTATTAATAATAGCTTATTAAGTGATCACATATTATTTAAGATCCTATGTATAATTTTTTAAACTGTTTTATTCAGGTTGGTTTGACTTCTACAAATGCAGAATTAAGAGGATTTATAGATCAGAATCTCAGTCCAACAAAAGGTAAGGACAGTTGAATAAAAATTTTCTGCATTGAGCTAGTTTTATTGCATTTGCTATATAAAATAAACAGTTAAATGAAGAATTACTTTATGTATAATAATTATATAATATTACTGTGTTATAGTCCAAAGAACTGTCATATTCCAAAGAACTTTTATCATATAAAAGTCAGTTACCTCTGAGAGGTGGGGGGGGGGAGAGAGAGAGAGAGAGAGAGAGAGGGAGAGAGTTTTGAGAGACCCTATTTGCTAGTGGTTTAACTTTTAAGGAATACAGTAGAATGAATGAATATATATGTAATTCCTTTGTGTAAAGTAGATGGTTTACTGGGAGAATGCTTATATCAGAAATCTGATCCATCCATACAAGAATTTGTGCAGGACACTTGTCAGTATCTTTCACCATATATCTTTCAACAGTATCTTTTAGTATGTAGAAATAACATCTGAAATCTTTATGGTTGAAATGATATGGTGTTTGGGATTGGCTTCAGAATAATCCAGTGAGGGAAGAAGAGTAAAGTGAGTGGAATTATAGATAAAACAGAATTCTCTGTGAGTTGGTTAATGGTTTAAGCTGGGTAATAGTTATACGGGGTTTCATTATTCTTGTCTCTCTTCCTTTGTATATGTTTAAATTTTTCCATTATACATATATAAAGGTAAAAACAAAAGTGTCTACTGTTACAATACAGATAGCTATGAGAGAAACATCAGCTTCCTCAAAGGCTTTATGTCTAAGGTGGGCTATGTATGTCTAAGGTGGAGAGAAGGCTAGAGAAATCTGTATTTCAGTATAAAAATTGCTAGTTTAAGAGTAGAAATGGTCTGTAGAAGTATTCTAAGAATTAAAATGTATTATGAAGCAATGAAAGAGATACTTGAAGCCTTGATGCTTGTCATTTTTTCCCCAGTTTTTTAAAATTGTGGTAAAACACACATAACATAAAATTTACCACTTCAACCATTTTTAAGTGTACAGTTTGGTGGCATTTAAGTACATTCATATTGTGCAACCATCAACACCATTCATATCTGTAACTCTTCATCTTGCAAAACTAAAATTCTACACCCATTAAACAATTTCCTATTTTCTCCTCCTCCTTTAAACCTCTGGCAAGAACCATTCTACTTTCTGTATCTATGATTTTCACTACTCTACGTACCTCATATAAGTAGAATTATACAGTATTTGTCTTTTTGTGACTGGCTTATTTTGCTTAGTGTCCTCAAGTTTCACCCATGGGGTAGCATATGGCCGAATTCCCTTCCTTTTTAAGGCTGGATACCATTCCATTTTAAGTATGTACCACATTTTGCTTATCCATTCATCCATCAGTGGACACATGGGTTGCTTCCATATTTTAGCTATTGTGAGTGATGCTGCTGTGAACTGGGAGTACAGATATCTTTTTGAGACCCTGATTTAGTTCTTTCGGATATAGTCCAAAAGTGGAATTGCTGGGTCATATGTCATATGGGTCAAATAACAGAATTATTTTTAATTTTTTGAGGAATTGCCATTTCGATTTTTACAGCAGCTGTACCATTTTACATTCCCATCAACAGTGCACAAGGGTTCCAGTTTCGTCACAGTGTTCTTGCCAACACTTAACTTATTATAGCCATCGTTATAGGTGTGAAGTGATATCTTATTGTGGTTTTGATTTGCATTTCCCTAATGACTAGTAATATTGAACGTATTTTCATGTGCTTATTTGCTATTCATATATCTTCTTTAAAGAAATGTCTACTCAAGTCTTTTGCCCGTTTTTGAATTGGATTTTTTGTTCTTTGTTGTTGAGTTCTAGAAGTTTTTATGTTCTGGATATTAATTCCTTATGAGATAAATGATTTGCAAAAATTTTCTCCCATTCATCAGGTTGTCTTTTTGCTTCCTTGATAGTATCCTTTGATGTGCAAAACTTCTTTGTTTTGATGAAGTCCAGTTAATCTATTTTTTCTACTATTGCCTGTGATTTTGGTGTCATTTCCATTTAGTGGTTGCCAAATCCAGTGTCACGAAAATTTTCCCCAATGTTTTCTTCCATGAATTTTAAAGTTTTAGCTCTTTGGTTTAGGTCTTTGATCCATTTTGAGTTAATTTTTGTATATGATACAAAGTCAGGGTCAAACTGACATAAGGATATCCAGTTTTCCCAGTACCATTTGTCAAAAAGACTGTCCTTTGACCATCGAATGGTCTTAGCACCCCTGTCAAAAATCAGTTGGCCATATATGTGAGGATTTACTTCTGGACTTTTTATTCTATTGCATTGGTCTATATGTCTGTCCATATATCAATACCATAATGTTTTAATTACTGTAGTTTTGTAGTATGTTTCAAAGTCAAAAGGTGTGAGTCCTCCTACTTTATTCTTCTTTGAGATTGTTTTGGCTATTTAGGATCTCTTGCAATTCCGCATGAATTTGAAGATTACATTTCCCATTTCTGTGGAAAAGGCTGTTAGATTTTTTAAAAAAATTTATTTATTTATTCATTAACTTTTGGCTGCATTGGGTCTTCGCTGCTGCACGCGGGCTTTCTCTAGTTGCAGTGAGTGGGGGCTACTCTTTGTTGCGGGGCACAGGCTTCTCATTGTGGTGGCTTCTCTTGTTGCAGAGCACAGGCTCTAGGCGTGTGGGCTTCAGTAGTTGTGGCACACGGGCTTCAGTAGTTGTGCCTCGCGAGCTCTAGAGCGCAGGCTCAGTAGTTGTGGCACACGGGCTTAGTTGCTCAGCGGCATGTGGGATCTTCCCGGACCAGGGCTCAAACCCGTGTCCCCTGCATTGGCAGGCGGATTCTTAACCACTGTGCCACCAGGGAAGCCCAGGCTGTTAGATTTTTGATAGAGATTGCATTGAATCTCTAACTCACTTTGGTTTTATTGACATCTTAACAATGCTATGTCTTCTTATTTATGAACATATTCAATTTGTGTAAGCCTTCTTTAATTTTACCATTTCTTTTTGAAGTCATGAAAAGGTTCTGGAAATAGTGGTTGTAGCTATATAACCTTGTGTATATACTGGAAATCAGTGAATTTTTGGGTATGTGAATTATACCTTGATTTAAACAAAAAACATTTTCTTCAACTTAATCTGTCCTTCCAGCCCTCATTTGTTTTCCCCAACATTATCAGACTTCTTGAAAGAAGCTATACACTTACAGTCCCATTCTCAGCTTTCATTCACTTCTCTGCCCAATGTAATCTGGCTTTTGACTCCATTAATCCATTGAAACTGCCCTTGATTTTGTCTTTTTTTGTTTTCGGTTTATCAGCTTTTGGCACAGTTAATGTGCCCCCCACCCTTTAAAAATAACCTTTTAATTTTAGAACAGTTTTAGGTTTATAGAGAAATCACAGAAATAGTACAGAGAGGTCTCATAAACCCCTCACTCAGTTTCCCTACTGTTGACATCCTACATTATTCTAGTACAGATTTTATAATGAATGAGCCAGTATTGATACATTATAATGAATACAAGTTCATACTTTATTCAGACTTCCTTAGTCTGTAGCTAATGTCCTTTTTCTGTTCCAGGAGAGCATTCAGGATACCATGTTACATTTCATGATCATGCATCCTTTGCTTCTTTTGGCTGTGACAGTATCTCAGACTTCCCATGTTTTTAATAACTTGACAGTTTTGAGGTGTACTGGTTAGGTATTTTGTAGAATGTCCCTGAATTGGGATTTTTCTAATTGTTTTTCTCATACTTAGATTGGGGTTATAGGTTTTTGAGAGAAAGACCACAGAGATAAAGGGCCATTTTCATCACAACATATTAAGGGTATCAACATGACTTATCATTATTGGTGTGAGCCTTGGTCACTTGGCTGATGTAGTGTTTGTCATGTTTCTCTACTGTAAAGGCACTCTCTGTAAAGGCACTCTCTACCCCTTCCCCCTTTCCATACCATAGTCTTTGGAAGGAATTCATTATGTGGAGCCCACACTTGAGGAGTGGAGAGTTTGCTCCACTTCTTTGAGTTGTGAATATCTACGTGATTTGTTTGGAATTCTTCCACCCTAGATTGTCTCTTCTCCCCCATTTATTTATTTAGTTAGTTAATTCTTTCTTTATACCAGTATGGACTCATGGATATTTGATGTACAGTCTGGGTCATAGTGTAATACTACTTCAGTTTTTTTGCTCAAATTGTTAGGACTATGGCCTTTGGGAGCGTGCAGTTGCTTTTCTGTGTCCCTTTGACATATTTCCAGCCCATTCCTCAGATCAGCCATTTTCCGAAAGAGTCCTGATTCCTTTTTATAGAGAATGTTGTTAGAAATCAAGGTCTCGGTGCTAAGCGAGCTCATCGTTACTAGGGTGGTGTCTTTCTTTTTGAATCACTGTTTTTCTTTGTGTCTGTGATACCACACTTTTTCAGTCTTACAGGAAGCAGTACAGTGTAGTGGTTAAGAACAAGGGCTCTGGAGGATGAGGGTGTAATCTTGGTTGCACTTCTTATACTCCACCAAATGTGTAAATCTGAGCAAGGTGATCTCTAAGCCAAAATGTCACATCTATAACGATGCAGATAATAATGGTAAATTGCTCATAGGGTATGTAAGGATTAAATGAGGTAGTGCACGTAAATCACTTAGTACAACCCTAGCACATAGTAAGCATTCATTAAGTGCTTACTCCTTTTCCTCTTGTTAATATTTTCATCTTCCTTTTTGGCCATTCCCTTCAGTCTACTCTCCTAGCTCTTCTTTTGTTTGTCTTCTAAATGTTAGTGTTCCATGGTTTTTTGTTGTTGTTGTTGTTTTTTGTGGTACGCGGGCCTCTCACTGCTGTGGCCTCTCCCGTTGCGGAGCACAGGCTCCGGACGCGCAGGCTCAGCGGCCATGGCTCACGGGCCCAGCCGCTCCGCGGCATGTGGGATCCTCCCGGACCGGGGCACAAACCCGTGTCCCCTGCATCGGCAGGCGGACTCTCAACCACTGCGCCACCAGGGAAGCCCTCCATGGGGTTTTTGTCTTAGTTTT